CTCCTATAATTTCCTTAAAACAAATTCTCATGAATAGGGCTTAACTTTATTCTGACCCTTGTTGCATATAGTAGATATAAACAAGTTTATTCCCTTTGAGCATCTCGTTATAGTGAGCTAGCTATACTCGAAAATAATGGCTGTATCAGTTCTGAAGCCAGTAGGAATGGAAGGAGCTTGCAAGAGATGTCAGTGTTCAGCAGAATTGGAATTGTACTTTCCCATTTATAGCTCCTTAACTTTTGTTTCAGTGATTGACATAAAACTGGAAAAGCCTCAGGAGCAACCAGTCAGTGAAGGAGGCTGTTCCTGCTAATCTTCCATGGCATCTTCAACTTTTCTTCAGAAGCTCACTGCTTTGGCCCCCTTACTCTTTCATTGACTGCAGTGTGAATATTGGCTTGAACCTTTTCCCTTCAGTAATAACGTATTGCAATTCATCATTGCTGCCTGTCTCGTGGAGATGATCTATTAGCTTCACAAGCACAAAAAAGTCAGTGTCTTCATTATTTATATTTTACAAAAAGCCAAATGATTCCAACATATTCCAGTGATAACTTTAAAAATTAGATACGTTTTCTCAATTTTTGTTTCCTTTTCAATGTTAGGATAACGTACTTCAAAATGATGGAAATTCCAACAGTCTGTGGCTAGGTTAAGGAGCAATTGTTCACAGCAGCACTTGCCTACCTACTTGATCTCTCTCTGCTTTTCTCACCTCTCCCTTATTGCATTCCCTATTCTTACCATCTCTCCCTCAAAACAAATGAGGTATGACAAAGCAGGAGTTAGACCAAGCCCAATGGAGTTATCCTTCAAATTTAGTGATACCACTTGCTCTAGGCCTTGGGCCAAGATGTCCAAAATTATTCTTGAGCGCTGATATAAATTACTTAGACTTTATTTGAGGTCAAAACTCAACTATCATGGTAGGCAGTGCTTGAATAAGAAAAGGGTTCTGATGCATCTTCAAAATGAGTCCTAATGAACACAGTGAGTACTTACAAATTAAATGAACATAAAATGTATTTCAGACCAAAACAAATGACCCTTTCACATGTTAGTCCCTGGGAGAGAAGAGTTAACAGTGCTTCAGAACATGTTTTTAATACTGAATTCTCCCAGTGAACTATTTCTCCCAGGATTTTAAAATTCTCAACATAGAGTTATTCTGTTTGTTTAAAAAAAGAAGAAAACTTTTGTAAGCAATAGATTTCTCTTGGGTTTTTCTTTGTTTCAAAAAATGCTATGCAGGCAAGGCACTACAGAAATCAAATTCTTTTAAGAAGAACCAGCGGAAGAATTTAAACTTGGTACCGTGATCAAAACTACAATAAACAATGATATCTAAAGCTATCATTGTAGAAACAATGATATCTAAAGCTTAACAACAAAAGAATCCTCAACAGAATAGCAAATACTTTGCTCAGGACATTTGAGGTCAAATTGAAAATGGAAACAGGTTTCTTATAAGCCCCTAGTGGCAGATCTGGAAAAGCATACATAGAAGAGGGAAAGGAGAGAATGGAAGTAAAACTTAATATTATGCAGATTTATGCCTTATTTTTTAGCATTTTTTTTTTAATGTTGGGTCTTTCAGGCTGGTTTTGCTTTTTATTAGATCTGTATAGTTTGGTTAATTAACTAGTGATTTAGTTTTATATTTAAGCTACAATTAATCTTTTTTCTTTGTTGATATTTATTTCTTTGCCTTTTTTTTTAAACTACTTTCAGTTTTTAGATGTTTTGTCTGATCTATTTAGAGCTTCATCACCATGGCAATATATATTTCCCTTAAAACACTGTAAACAAATATACTAGGAGTGCACCATTTTAATCTTTACTAGTTATTGTGAGATTGCTGTGTAAGTTAATAAACACATTTGTAAATACATTATTTGCAGGACGAAAATTTCTGAGTTACAGCTCAGGAAAAGCCTGCTGAATTTACGTTGTAAGCATTACTTAACACAGTATAAAGATGAAAAGACAACAAAAAATATCTTCATACTTCCTCATCCCCTCATTGCAACAAAACCCTTAACTGGGAACCTTATTCCCCTCTCTTTCCTCTTCCTTCTCCAGTTCCCACTTATTGTCACCTTGTAATATTCAGAGAGCACTTGGATTATGGGTCTGAATAGAGAAATGCTTTCAGATAATCATTAGCCCACATACCAGTAACTTATACTCAAAGATGGGATGGAGTTGTAAAGTGCTTTTATAATACAATATTATTGTTAAAGGCAAGGGTTGACTCTTTTGTTTTTATTTTGACATGGCATGTCCTGAAATAAATATCAATTCAATATGGCAGATGGGTCATATTCTTTATTTAGAAGAAGTTGTGATTTCTGACATGGGGGTGATTGTCTTCCTACACTGTAGTGTATGATTCTTTTTATGTATCTTTAAAACAGTAATCAGTTATGCTGCTTTTTAATACCGGTCTTTTTATTTGGCCTGGGGTTCTTCAACTGAAGCAGTGAAGTGTGTTCATAGTCTAGATTTTTTTTTTTTAATAAACAATTTTGCTGCCAAAAATATATAAATAAAACACAAACAAAAACAACTATTGACTTGGTTTCTATTCCTGCCAAGGTAGTAAGTTAGTATGAATTTCTTACTTCCTCCTTAGAATTATAAAGGGAACTTGAAATCCAGAAAAATAAAAAAACAGCACTAAGAAACCCCTAGGGAGTCAGAAGACTTTTCAGCTGTTACAAGTGGGGATGAGTGGCTACAACTTGAAAGACAGGGCCACTGGTAGAGGCAATAATATATTAAGAAAAGTAATTTACATTCTGCTTTTGCCTCCTCCTAACCCCACCTTTGCCTAGGGACAGGGACAGCAAACTCCTGCCCTCCCACCACATCCAGCCTGCTACCTGTTTTTAAATTAAATTTTTTTTGGAATTCACTGCAAAGGTGGGGTTGAGTAGTTGTGACAGAATGGCCCCAAAAGCCAAAAATATTTACTGTCTGGCCCTTTACAGAAAAAAGAGCTGGCCCTTGCCTTGGCACAAATGATAGCTATTTCCCTTACTACAGAAAGGGAGGCTACAGGCCAGACTACGGGTACAGGTGTCCACAGGGGTAATATCAGGGCAGTGTAAACTAAGTGAGGAGTTGTTGAAAATAGGTGGAGAATGACCTGCCTGCCTTAGGCCTTTCACTCATTCTCTAGCCTTTCCCTTTTAAAACTTGCGTTAATGAGCTGTAATCTAGGTGACTGCCCCCTGCAAAGCTGCTTCTTCCTAAACTAGTTTAAAGGTAAGACTCTGAAATAAAGTGTGGTTTAGTGGGATGTTACTGAATGGGAGCAGCTACATGTATGGTCTTGTGGTTCCTGGAACTCTGTCCCACAGTTTGTCTCCTCCCCTTCTTAAACACGACATTCTGGTCTTTGTCCTTTGCCCAGTATACCTTCCCAGACTTGTAACACATACCCCCAGGAGAATTTGGAGCCACAAGTCAGAGTAGTTGGATACCTGAAACTGCCTCAAAAGAAAAAGTGAATACTGGGGCGCCTGGGTGAGTCAGGAGGGTGAAGCATCTGCCTTCAGCTCAGGTCATGATCTCACGGTTCGTGAGTTTGAGCCCCATGTCAGGCTCTCTGCTGTCAGTGCAGAGCCTGCTTCAGATCCTCTGTCCCCTCTCTCTGCCCCTACCCCATTCACACTCCCTCTTTCTGTCTTAAAAATAAATAAATAAATAAATAAGTTTAGAAAAAGTGAATACCATCTGGAGTAGAAATACTCAAAAAGACTAAAATGGTATGATAAATATTGAAGAGTGGAGATACTAGCAATATGGAGCAAGAATCATAAAATAACCAAATACAACTATTAAGTGTGAAAAATAGTTGAAGTAAGGAACACATTAGATAAATGGTACATACACTGCATCCCACTGATTAGTGAGAACACTGAACTGAGGAACTCCTTCACTAGAAAGCAAAGAAATAGAAAAGATTAAGAGGATAATAGTACACATAGCAACTTCTAGTAGCAATTCCAGAAAGCTAAAAAAGCAAGAACTAAAGTACTGAAAATGAAGACAGTATTTATGATAAGCATCTGCATAGAATGCAGCTTCTAAAATAGTTCCTGATTGCTGCCTCCTGGTATTCATGCCTTTGTAGGATCCTTTTCCTCTAAGGATAGACTGGACCTGGTAAGTTGCTTCTAAGGAACAGAATACAGCAAAAGTGATAAGATACCACTTTGAAGATTAGATTATGAAAAATACTTTTGCCAATCTCTCTGACTCCTCTCATTTGCCTCTGTGCAGCAGTCTGTTATGAGCTCCTATGGAGAGGCCCACTTTGTAAGGAGCTGACAGCAGCCTCCAACCAGCAGCCAGTGAGGAACCGAGGTCCTCAGTAAAACAGACTGTAAGGAATTGAATAAAAAGCCACAGACAGAATATACTTGTGAATTTCATTCATGCTTCATAAAGGACCAGTATTCAGAATATATGAAGAACTCTCTTAATAGGAAAGCAAGCCAATAAAAAGGTGAAAGATTTGACCAGACGCTTCACCAAAGAAGATCTATAAATGGCCAAAAAAAAAAAAAAGACATGAAAAATGCTTGACATCATTAGTCACTGGGGAAATGCAAATTAAAACCACAGCGAGACACCACTACACACATATTAGAAAGGCTAAAACTTTAAAAGACGCCATATCAAGTGTAGGTGGAGATGAAGAGCAATTGGAACTCTCATACACTGTAGTCTGAGATTTTGGAAAAACTGGCAGTTCCTAAAGAAGTTAAACATACATTTATTTAACTTAGCCATTTCATGCTCAAGTATTTACTCACAAGAAATGAAAGCCATGTGTCTATATGAAGACTTGCACACAAATATTCATAGCTTTACATGTCCAAGAACTGGAAACAACCCAAATGACCATCAAGAGGTGAATATACTGTATAAATAAATTATGAAACATGCATACTATGTAATATAGTATGCAGTGAAGCAGAATAAACTTGATACCTACAATATAGATAAATCTCAATATAGCCTAATTGAAAAAAGTTGAAAAAAAAGTACATATTTTATGTTTTATGTAAAATGTTAGTAAAAAAAATTTTAATGTTTATTTTTAAGAGAGAGAGAGAGAGAGATAATGTCAGCAAGGGAGGGGCAAAGAGAGAGGGAGACACAGAACCTGAAGCAGGCTCTAGGCTCTGAGCTGTCAGCACAGAGCCTGACGCAGGACTTGAACCCAGGAACCGTGAGATCATTAACTGAGCTGAAGTCAGACACTTAACCGACTGAGCCACCCAGGAGCCCCTGGAATGCAAACTATTTTAACAACTCTCAGTTTTTCCATTCTGCTTTCTGTCTCTAAATTTGCCTATTCTAGATAACTGTGTAAGTGGAATTATACAATATTTGTCCTAGTGTCCACCCATGTTGTAGCTTGTATCAGACTTTTATTCCTTTTCATGGCTGAATAAAAGCCCTAGTTATGTATATACCACATTTTGTTTACTCATTCATCTGTTGGTGGACACTTGGATTGTTCCCACCTTTTGGCTATTTTATTTTTTTAATGTTTATTTATTTTTGAGAGAGACAGGGTAAATGGGGGAGGGGCAGAGGAAGAGGGAGACACAGAATCCAAAGCAGGCTCCAGGCTCTGAAGTGTCAGCACAGAGCCCTACGTGGGGCTTGAACTCACAAACCGTGAGATCCTGACTGAAGTTGGACGCTTAACGGACTGAGCCACCCAGGCGCCCCTGGCTATTTTACGTTTTATTTTTTTATAAGCCTAGCATTTTCAATTTTTATTTATTTTATTTTTTGAGAGAAAGAGTGTGTGAGCAGGGGAGAAAGGGGGGAGAGAGAGGGAGAGAAAATCTTAAGCAGCCTCTATGCATAGCATGGAGCCTGACAAAGGACTCGATCCCAGACCCTGGGATTATGACCTGAGCCAAAATCAAGAGTTGGATGTTAAACCAACTGAGCCACCAAGGCGCCCCATGGCTATTTAAAATAATGCTGCCAAGAAAATTGGTGTATAAGTACCTGTTTGAATCCCTGTTTTCAGTTCTTTTTAGTGTATACCTGGGAGTAGAATTGCTGGGTCTTACAATTCTGTTTAACTATATTAACGTTTTGAGGAAATACCAAACTGCTTTCCACAGCAGCTGCACCATTTTACATTCCCAGCAGCAATGACTATATGAGGGTTCCAATTTTTACACATCTTCATCAACACTTTTTATGTTCTGATGTTTCTGATAATAGCCATCCTTGTGGGTGTATAGTGGTACCTGTCTCATGGTGATTTTGATCTGCATTTCCCTAATGACTAGTAATGTTAAACATCTTGCTTACTGGCTGTTTATATAATTTATTTAGAGAAATGTCTGTTGAAGTCATTTGCCCATTTTTAAATGGGGTTGTTTATTGTGTTGTTGAATTACAGGAGTTCTTTATATATTCTAGATATTAATCCTGTAATAGATACATGGATTTACAACTGTTTCCTCTCATTCTGTGGGTTGCGTGTTCACTTATTATGTCCTTTGATGCCCCAAAGTTTTAAATTTTGATGAAGTTCAATTACCTTTTTTTTTTTGGCCTGTGCTTTTGGTGTCATATGTAAGAAATCATTGCCAAATCCAATATCACAAAGATTTTCTCCTATGTTTTTATTCAATGAGTTTTATAGTTTTAGCTCTGATGTTTAAGTCTTTGATCTATGTATGATAAGGGCCAAGCTTCATTCTTTTGCATGTGGACATATTTTCCCCAGCAGCATTTGTCAAAAAGACTGTCCTTCCCCCATTGAATGAATGGTCTTCACACCCTTGTTGAAAATCAATTCTCCATATGTAAGAGTTTATTTCTGGGTTGTTTATTCTATTCATACATTGGTCTGTATGTCTCTCCTTAATGCTAGTACTCTACTGTGTTTATTACTGTAGCTTTGTAGTAAGTTTTGAAGCACATTGCATTTATTTATGCCTTTAATTTCTGTCAGCAATGTCTTAGTTTTCATCATACAAGTCTTTCACCTCCTTGGTTGTTAGGTTTATTCCTAAGTATTTTATTCTTTTTGATGCTATTGAAAGTGGAATCTGTTTTCTTAATTTCTTTTTTGGATTGTTCAGTGCTAGTTTATAAAATGCAACTGATTTTTACATTGATTTTGTATCCTGCAACTTTGCTAAATTTATTAGATCTAACGATTTTTGTATTAAATGTTT